TGTCTTGGCTTGCGGCCGGGAAAGCCATGGAATGCTATCTGGCCGCCTAGCCCCTAGCCGTCAGTCGCCTTGCCACGCCATGGATTGCTTGAACCTGCCTCGCTTCGCTCGTCTGCCACTCGCGTGCTTCCCCAGTGGGAGGACAACTGTACACATCGACCGACTCTGGCCAAGCCGATCCTGAGCCTGGCATGGGCCTGGCCGGGATCGGCATCTGTGCCTCCTCGACCTGTCCCGCGCGGCGCCGCCTCGCAGGCATGACGCCGGGAGAAGCGACCCGTGGCGCCGCTGCCCGTGGGGAGGGCGACGGAGTCCGGAGGAGCGGCCGAGCAGCTGCAGGGGTACCCCCCCCGCGCTCCCCCTCGCCTCAGCTGCTGGAGCGCGAAGGTGCCGCCCCTGTCCTCACCAAACCCTCCTCCTCTTCCTCGTCCCCGTTTCCCCCCTCCCCGCCTCCTCGTCCTTGCCTTTTCTGCCCCCCTCCGCCTCCTGCCTGTTCTCCCTCCTTTCTCCCTCCTCCTCCTCCTCCTCCTTCTCCTTCTCCTCCTCCTCCTGCCTCCCTTTTCCTTCCCCCTCCCTCCTCGCTCCTTGCTCATCGTTCCGCCCTCCGCCCTCCCTTCCTCCTCGTTCATCGCCCACTTCCTTTCCCTGTGCGATCCTCCCTCCCCCTTCTTCTGCTCCCCTCCTCCCCCCTTCGGGGGCTGTCAAACGTGTTCCTGGCCCAAGGTGCCCACATCTTTCCCGGAACTGTGCCGCCCTCGGCGCACTCTGGATCTCGTGAGGGGTGACCCTTGGGGGCGCCCTGGGCCAGGGACGCCCCTGGCAGCGCCCGGCGCCCCTCCTCGCGGCAGCAGCACTCCCCCCTGGCCTGAGATCCGACAGCGCAAAACAAATTGCACCATCGCGGTCAATTACGACCAGCGTATAGGCCCCATCTTTCTGCATCATTTTCCGAAATCGATCGATCCGTGATGGTGGCCCCTGGGCCCGCACCCCGGCGAAAATGCCCGACGTGAATTCGCGACGCCCAGATCTCAGGCCGCCGCCGCCGCGCGCCTGACGTGCCAAGCTTCGTCGCCCAGGAGCGCCCCGAGGGCCCCCGCCACCTGGCGGTGGCTGGCCGCCGACAGCAGGCGACGACGAGCGACGACGACGACGCCCGAGGACGGCCCCGAGGGCTCGGCACGGCGCCGCGCTTCCGCCCCCGCTTCGTGCTCCGCCCCGGCCCCCTCGCGCGGCAGGCCGCTCCCGCCGCCGCGCCGCCGCCGCGGCGGGGCGGCGGCGCGCCCGACCCGCCGGTGGCCCTGCCGCGGGCCCCGCGGCGGAGCGGAAGCGCGGCGTCCGCGCGCCTCCCGGGGCTCTCCGCCCGCGGCCGCGCCCCTCCCGCGCGCCGATCGCTGCCCGCGCCGCAGCTCCCAGGCCCTGAGGGCTCGCGGCGGGCGCCCCGAAGGCACCTCCCCGGATCGCTGGGGCGCCTCGGCGCACCTTTGCTCCACGCACCCATCCCATGACACCTCGCTCGCGCTGCACAAGCGCATCCATGAAGCGCCGCAGGCGTCAGGCGCCAAGAAGATGCTACAGACAGAAATCGCTCGCCATCCCCGGACAGCGGGCGTCTCGCTTCTCTCGGGGCGCGGGCTCCCGACCCGGACCATCGCCTGCCCTCAGAATCCGAGGCCGGGAGTCCGACTCCGAGGGCGGGGAACCAGAAACTTACCATCGCTGCCCCCAGATCTTCGCATGTGAAAAACATGCAATCACGTGTTGTGTACATCCTGCCAAATTCTGGAACTCCCAGACTCAGAATGGAAAGGCTGGCCTTCTGGCCGCATCTCTCTTGGGTCGCGACACGGGCGGCCAGCGGGGGGGGGTTGAGGCCAGCCCGAGCACCGAACGCCGTCCAGTGAAAGGAACGGACCATTTACATGTGTGTATATGAACAACTATCCATACATACATACATACATACGCAGTTTAACCATAATTGTACGTACACATGTATGTTTGTGTAGAACTGTACAAATGTAGGCATGCTATGTATATGCGTGTACAAGTAGGTACACATGTGTACCCAAACATAGGCATGCACGCATGCCCGCGTGGCGCGCGGCGCAAGCTCGGGGGCGCCTGCGTTTTAAAACAGTTCGCGAAGTGCAACGACGACGGCCGCGGCGGCGGCGTCGCACGCTCGCGCGGTGCAAGCACGCACGGGCGCCTGCGTAGTGGAGCAGTTCTCGAAGCAGGACGGCGACGACGGCGGCGGAACCGAACCGCGCAGAATTTCCAAGGGGGGTAGCAATTGGCAGGGGTTCAGAACTTGAAACATGTAATGTCTGCAGCCAGTTAGACCCCAATGGGGGTATCCTATACTCCAGCTCCCATTGGACCCGCAGGGGTAGGGTTCGCAAGTGGCTGCAGACTTGGCAGTCGAGGATAGGGGGTAGAGGAGGGCCGACGCAAACCCAAGAGGCCCATGTGCGAAACCCAGAACCAGCCTAAGCGCGCGCGGTGGCCTAAGATGTATCTCGAGATGCATCAAATGCGCAGTGAGCTGCGCCTTCCCCACTGGCGCGCGAGATGCGCGCGAATGGAGTGCGAGGGGCGCGAGCGCTCGAACAGGGAGCTGGCGGGCGGCGCGCGAGGCCTGACCTCCAGAAGCACGGCTGCAAGAACAGCAACATCACACGAGTCGGAAGTCCCGCAAGTGCAGCTGCGTACAAAGAATGGGAGACGCACATCAAATTAAGGTGCTCCTTCTGCCCCCGCCCCCCCTCTTCCCGCGGTGCCTGGCTCCTCGCCCTGCCCTCTGTGAGCTCCGCGCACGTGGGCCGCGGAGTCCGTGCTTCCTCTGGCGGCGGTGGGCCTGAGGGTTTGATTGGTGCCTGGCAGGCGACCGCGGAAAAGGGGCCGGATACCCTTGCATCATCGACGTGGCGCGCGACGCCCAGCAAGCTCGAGCGCCCTCTCTGTAGAACATTTCCCACGCGTGACAACGAATCAATACACGGAAATCATGCGGCAGGACCCGGGACACGTGAAGCATGCGGCACGCGTGCCCTGGCTGCACGAGGGCCCCATGACGCTGGGGCCGAGGCTCTTGCATCCGAATCGGGCTCTTGCTTGGAAGCGACGGAGGCCATTAGAGCACCTCCAACAAAACACCTATCCAGTAAGGGGTGCGTGGGCCCTTGGAACCTCGACTTGCAGCTCGCGGGCCTACACTTCCATCGGTGAGATCGGGGTGCAACGGTGCTGGGACAGGCGAGGATCTGGGCGATGACATTATGCGAGGCCGCATGAAGAGTCCAAGCGTGCTTGATCTCAACGCGCGCGTGCTGGCCAACCCGTGGGCGCGGGCACCTTAGTTGGCTAACCAGTCCGCACCTTTGTTGCCAAATATGCCTTTCTCATCGTCTGATTCGACAGCTTCTGGATCTTCTCGATGAGCGTAGAAGCGCCGAAGGCCCATCCAAAGTTCAGCCGAGTCAACGGCTGTCTTGCGGAGGAAATGAGCGTGGGGTGCGTGCCAGCTGGAGTGGGTTATTTGCGGCAGCGTTCAGCTGGGCTTCGGAATCCACGGCGATCTGGCTGACAAGCGTTTCCTCTGCATGAATAGCAGCTTCCATAATGGCGGCATGTTCTGCCGCGCAAGAACTCCTGCCCAACGACCGAGCGATAGTTCCGTTGATGCCCCGCACCAGCCGGCCGCCAGAGCACAGAGCCCAGTCCGAAAAACTGGGTCGGAGGCAGGGGCCGTGAGAGCGCACGACCGCGCCCTTCGAGACCTCGAAGTGTCGGTATTCAGTCAAACTCCCGTCTGTGCACTTGAGACCCCAGTCTCCAACTGAGCCTGGGACTGCCAATCGCGGGAGCTAAGCGCGCGTGCAAAGGTAGCTAGATGACCCTGCACTCTTGGCGTCCTCAAGAAGGCTGGGCGGGAAACTTCGCCTCGCTTTTGTTCTTCATTCCGGCGCTCCCAGACTCGATTGCAGTGTCTGACTCAGGGCATCGCGCGCAGTCCAGTCTGGGGCTGCACTCCAGATATAGCAGAGCTTCTGCCGTGGGCGTGGCTCCTCCCAAGGCCTGCTTTGAACAGTAACTCGCGCGCATTCTTGAGACGAAGACAAGCTTTGCAGCCGCGTCCGACCGCAGTCCTCAGGCGTCGAGGGCTTCAGCCCCCTCTCCTGCCAGGCGGGTGGTCGTTCTGGCCACGTATTCCTGGGTCCTTGTGCTTTTGGGTTGCGAGACAAACCTCTTGGCCACGTAAGTTGGCGAAACAAGATTTGGGTCGATCTCCGCGCCCTTCGATTCCGCGGCGACGGACGGGCCCCCAAAAGTGAATCCTCCTTCGCGGGCCTAGAGAAGCATGTCAGACAGTGGACCCCTGCCGCGCTTCAACCGCTCTCGATGCGACGGGCGGGCGGGAGGCGCAGCAGACTGAGCAATCAGAAAACGCCTTACTGAATTGGGAAAGCTCGCAGCAGTCGCCGCGCGCCGGTTGAAAATCCTGTCTCTGGGAACAGCGGCCGCCCTCCATTCTGACGCATATCGCCCCAAAGTCGCGCCTGCAATCGCATGTGGGTCTCGAATTTTCGACGGGCCCCGCGACAGCTCTGCATCGGAGCCGCGCGTGGCGACTCGACTAGAAGACGCGGCAGCTTGTCGTGGGCGGCTGATCTGACTCGGGCTGAACGCAGCAGCGCCATTTACGTAGGTCACGATGGGGATCACACTGCCCAGGAGACTCGCTTTAGCCCTGGCTTTCCTCTGAACTGCCTGCCTTAGCTCCTCGCTCGAGCTCATGGATTTCCTCTGAACGACCTGCCTGAATTGCCCAGTGTGCGCCGGCGCATAACGCGAACCCTGTCGGCTTCAGGGTGAGCTCGGCGGTGTCCCGAAATAAAATCAACCCATAAATTGGCAGCCGAGTGCGCCATAGGGCCACCTACACTACCGACTGCTGCCTGAGCGTAAGCTAGTTCCAACGCTTGACTTGAAGACGCGACCACGCGGCGCTTGTGGCCTGCTTGCGGGTGCAACGCCAGCTTATGCCCAGCAGCACTCAAGTGACTGGGTGGCTCCTCGGCAAGCTCGACGAGACCGGGCCCCCCGCGTGCGGTGAGTTATCGCAACGCAAACAGCCCGTGGCGTGGCCGGGCAGCTCAAGAGCATTTGTTCAATCACTGGCCTGAGGGCGAGCGTGGTCTCGCAAGTGGCAGGGGTCGGCCCCGCGACAGTCCCTCTCGAAGGAACGACGCCTAGCATAGGGATGCATGCATGACCGAGGCAAGCTAGAGATGGACCGCGCAAGGTTAGCAACATGATACTTACTTTCTGAAACATTATGAGGGAGGAGCCGTTGGGGCACAGGCGCGTCGAACTGCCGCAGATCCCACGCCTCTCCTGCGTAGTGGATCTTGCCGATACGAGCCGACTCAGCAAGGACAGCTTGGCGCCAGACAGCGCCCCACGGGCTGCGATTCCGGGCGCGCGAGTAGACGGCCGCCCCCCCCAACCCGAAGCCCCCGCTCCCGCGATCACTCGACGCGCTTGTTTTTCAGCCTGCAAGCCGAGGGGTCTGGAACCAGCGGCCCCGATGCCTCCTCTGGGCCTGGGCGCATGCGAGACCGAGAGTCTTTGCGCGGCACCCGGAGCAGCCATGGTCGGATCCACGAGGAGAAGCAGTCTAGCAAGCACCTCGAAAGATGAGTCCGAGAGGAATGGGAAGTTCCGAGGGTGCCAGCCGTCTGGCTCGCGCGTATGATCGCCCAATCTGCGACGGTTGTGGCGGGGGGCGATGGCCTCGGCAACCTCCCGAGATGACGCGGGCAAAAGCGAAACTTCTGGCGGGGGCGCCAGGAGTTCGGCTCGCCGGATCTCCGACCAATTTTGCGCTGCAGTCTGCGCCAGGGTGGCGAGCGAGGAGCGGTCCGCCCTTGGGGGGCCGGCCTATGATCACGCTTCGACAGGCGCGGCGACCAGTGGAGAACACTGCGTGCTGAAAGCGCTCCTTTTTCCGCGGCTTCTCGGCGCCATTCATGCCGTTGGCGCCTGCGAGCTTCTGAATGTAACGGAAGCAAGTGATCGCGCGTAAACTGGGCAATGTCGAGTACCTGCTCGAGGAGCTTGGGCGTGTTTTGTACTGGCGACTGGACTGGGCTGGCGACTAGAAACAGACCAGGGCGCCACGCGCTGACTCCTCTTCCCAAACTCACCACAAAAGTTCGCCACTGAGCTCCAACCAACACAACTGTACCGTGACTTAGTTCCACGAGGTCAGCGTGGCTAGAAGCTCTGGGCGCTGTGAAAAAGAAGGACCGCACTTGCTGCAGTCTCTGCTCTACCCGCGCGGGGGCATGGGCTCGCGCGGAGCAGTTTATTCAGCGGGCTACCTGCTGGGGGGCCTGGGCCAGCTCAGCCAGCGGCCGCGCAGGTTTCCCTCCCCCACGCCTCGTTGCAAGTATTGTGCGGCGCGATCATGGCGGACAACGCCTGGTCGCGTGGCTGGCCCGAAAGTGGGAACTTGTCTCCAGGTATGATACTCTGATTGAGAAACGCTTCCAACGGTGCCAGTGAGTCCACTATGCCCGGCGGTTCCATGACTGGGCCCATGGCCGGGGTGGGCGGCGCATCCCGGCACAGCCTGAACGTCCACCGTGGCCCGACCTACCCCCTCGACAACGCGAGCGCGGCCAGTGGGCGCGGCGAGACATGGGTGTTCGTGGGCACCTGAACCGTAGCAAGTATATTAGTTCATCTGAACCCAGAACTAGATGATCGCGGACGCACGATCATCCAGCGAGCAGTGTGGCTTGTCTCCGTCAGCTCTGGTAAGACCGCCCTGCGCGTGCAACGGGGTTCCCTCGTTCAGCTGCGCAGGGCTCCTGTTGGGGGCGCTTCCAACGATGCGGGGGGCGGCTGACAAGTGGACTTGTTTGCCCCCGTGGTCTCGATGAGCCCGCCGTTCCCGGGGGCGAAACCTCCCCGCGCATGCCCCGCGCGCGCGGGCGGCAGGTGGTCGGTGCGCGACGAGCGACGTCTCCGAGGCGAAGTTGACTTCGCGCCAGTCTACCTCTAGACAAGTCAAGCGCTGCTTCGCCATGATCAAGCCTCTCGCTGAAAACCTACCCGCGATGGTCTTGGCTGCCGGGCCTCCATGAACGTTCCATCCTGTTTTCCGCATCTTCTCAACAGCATCCCCATGCATTGCGCTGGGTGGCGGTGGTCCTGAATGACACTCACGCCTGCAAGAAGAAATGGGTTCAACGACGCTTCCCCCGCGCTCCAACTCGGTCCGCTGATGGTGGCAACCTGCAATCCACGCAGACATGCAGAGTCGCCCTCGATTGACCCGACGCTGGAGACGACGCCTTCGGCGCGGGCCGCGCGGCGAAAATGTCGAGGATGCGCCCGCGCGCGTGAGGTCCTGTCTGCATTGACCGCATATGTTCTTCTGCTTTAATATTTCTTCACGGCCGCGTCGGGCGCCAGCGGGAGGGGGAGGGGGAGGCCGCGCGTGCCCCGAGCGCGACTCCATGGGGCAATGACACGGGCGCCTCAAATGTCCAACCTACCCCTGGTAGCGCATCCTTTCGTGGAAGTAACTGACGCAGACGTGGAACTCGCTCCTGGCCCTCCAGCGACTCGACCCGCCAGAGCCCCGCGGCGAGGTCCCTTGAGGTAGCCGCTCGCCACCTCGAGACCTGCGCCAGGTTTCGTCCGTCGAGCCGTCTCCGCGCTCCCTGGGCCAAGGCTCGGAAGGCGTGCGCGAACCGAACCGTTGTCGGGATTCGCCCGCGTCCACGATCGTCGGAGGCGCAGCCCCCCCCAGCCTGCTCCTTTCGCAAACGAGTTGGCGACCTCGGCGTCTCACCCCATAGCTGCTCTTGCAAGCTCCTTTGCCGCGTGGTGGGCGCCCTGGCGCCTGGCGTCTGGATTTACTCGTGCGGGCGGCGACTGTGATTGAGATCCTGTAGAAATTCTACAGCCGACTTCGGATTCTGCGATTGACTGGCCATCGTTTCCTCGCCGCTTCTTCGCGTGCCAGGCGCTTCTTCTGTGTGTCTTGTTCCGCGCGGAGCTGCTCCGCCTGTTGCTCGACCCAGCCGAGCGTCGACTACGTCGCCTCGCGCAATGACTGCCGAAGCTTCAAGACTCGCTTTGGAGCCGTGCTCTTGTCCTCGCGCGCGAGGTCCGCGTACTCGGCGCGCCCGAACATCTCCTTCGGGCCATCGCGGAGCTGAACGCTTCCATCCATGATAGCTGGCGCATTGATCATGCTGGCTGACTGCGCAAGCTGGAGGGGGCAGGCCACCTTCGAGTGGACTTCCTGGACAGCGGCGCGGCAATCCTCATATCGATCCGGCGAAGAACCTCTCTGATTTGAATCGCCTGCTGGCCCAGCCAGCGCTGCGGGTGCTCGCGGCGCGCCGCCAGCTTTTGAATGCGCAGGCGGCCAACGTGATGCTTCACGTCGTTAGCCATCCTTTGAGCGGGGGCCTCTTGCTGCGGGGATGCAGATTGCAGCTCCGCCGGGTGGCTGTCGGCCGCCAACTTGCCAACAAACTTGTCGCAAAAGGCAATGGGCAGCTGGGTTTCGGCCTGCAAGGCCCTGGCTGCGGCGGCCCTGCAAGGGCGGGCCCCCGCGCCCCCCCTCCGAAGCAGCCGCCTGGGCCGGTGACAGCGCCAGGCCTGCGGCGCGCACTTTGGCGGCCGTTCGCCGTCCATGATGACTGCCAGTTCGACGCCCCCCCGCGACTTGCCGCGGCGCTTGCGCCGCGCCCAGCCGCTTGGGCATCCGCGATATAACTACTTCCATGCCCCGCGAGGCTTGCCCGCGACGGGCGCCGCGGCGAGCGGGCCAGGGGCGGGCCCGACGGAGTCGCGGTGACCGACGCGCGGCCCCGACCCCAGACCCTAGACCCGACGCCCGCGACCCCCGTGCTCAAGACAAGCCTGGCAAGACCGGCGCCCCATGGCCCGCGGTGGCGCCGCGCCTTGCTGGCCCAGATTTTAATTGGAGCTGAATTTCATCGGGCCTATTTGCGCGATGTGAATATGGAAACACAAAGCGCCGGCAATGCCATGCCTCATGCGTCGCGCGAGCGGCCCGTGCCTCGAGCGCTGCGCGCTGGCGAATTGGCGCGAGCGCTCGTGGGAAAGGGCGGCGCATGCGGATCGTGCCCGGGCGCTGTTCAGCCCGGGCTCGCAAAATTTCCCCGTGCCAATTCTTCGGGGGCCACGTGGAATGCGTTGCTTTAGCTTGGCGCTTGGCGATGCCACTGTCAGACTCATCCATGCAGGTTGGTGAGTGCGCGGGGTTTCTGCGCGCGTTTGCGTCTTATGCCGCGTGGATGCGGCGACGGCGCGCAGGGGCCAAGTTGCCGCCGGCCAGCTCATCCTCAGACGCGTGTTGCAGCATTATATCTAGCAGCTTCTGGCGCCCAGAGGATGGCAGCAAACGGGGGTGATTTTTCGCGATTGGCACCGCCTTGGGGGCATGTGGCCCGGCCGACAGAGGCCGCCGCCCGCCTTCCAAACGATCCGCGTATAATTCCAAATTCGCACCGTGAAGGGAAGCAACAGCTTTTTCTCTCCACCTTAACTTTTCGCGCCGGGCCAAAACAGATGGCAATCTTCGACCCCCCAGCGACGCGGTGCCCGAGGCTGTGCTCGCCCCGCTCGTGGACGTCCGGGTCGGGCTGCTGCTCTCTCGCGCGTTCGTCAACGCGGCGCTGCTGGCGCCTTTCGCGGGGCTCCGCGACGAGCTGTGGCTTTCCGAATGGGCCGCCTCGCGGCGCAGGCGCTGCTCCCAGTTCTGTAGCCGATGACGTTGGTCCCGAGCACCCTCTTGCCGCAATTCGCCGGGCAGTGCAGGGGCCTGCTGCGACGGCTCACTCCTCTCGCAACGCGTGCCCTGATCCTGGTGCTGTGGAAGTTGAAGCTGGTGTGCATTTTCTTCTCTCCGCGGCTCGCTGAACGCCGCCAAAACCTATTGCCCCGGCTCGCCTGCCTCGCGGCGCTGGCGCTGGTCCCAGTGTTGCAGCCGATGACGCTGGCAGTGCTCAGGCCTGCTGCGAGGGCCCAACCTCGACCTGCCGCGCGACAAGAACGTCCGCTGATCCACTGGAGGCAAACGTCGGATGAACAGCCCTGGAGGCGAACCTGTAGTGAATGGCCCCTGGGCTGTTATTACATGTCGCAGCTATGCTGTAGCTGTTAGGGTTGGTGTCCAGCTTCTCCTCGCCACCGCTTGCTGCGCAGCGTCAGAGCCTGCCGCTGCGGCTCCGCCACCCCGCGGCGCGGGCGCTGACCCCGGCGTTGTAGCCGATGACGTTGGTCCCTAGCACCCTCTTGCCGCAACTCTCTGGACAATGCAGGAGCCTGCTGCGACGGCTCACCCTTCTCGCTCCGCGGGCGCTGACCCGGCGTTGTAGCTAATGGGGCCAGACGTCAAATTCTTCTCGCCATGGCTCGCAGATCAGCGCTGGAGCCTGCTGCTGCGGCTCGCCCGCCTCGCGACGCAGACGCTGGCCCCAGCGTCGTAGCCGATGATGCTGGCTTCCAGCTCCCCCCTGCCGCCATTCGCTGAGCAGTGCTGGGGCATGCTGCGACGGCCCATCCTTTTCGCACCGCTGGCGCTGATCCCGGCGCTGTAGCTGTTGAGGCTGCCTCCAGTTTCTTCCCACCACCGCTTGCTGAGCAGTGCCAAGGCCTGCCGCCGCGGCTCGCTCGTTCTTTGGCGCAGGCGCTGCTGGAGCCGGCTGGAGCCTGCTGCGTCGGCTCACCCTTCTCACCCCGCAGGCGCTGATCCTGGCGCTGTAGCTGCTGAGGCTGGTATCCACGCCCTTCTCCCCGCAGCTCGCTGAATAACGTCAAAGCCTGCCGCCACGGCGCGGCCGTCCCGCGGTGCAGGCGCTGATCCCAGAGGCGTAGCCGATGGCACTGCTTACCCTCCCGCAGCGGTTCTCCGAGCAGCGAGGGGCCTCACAGGACGCGGCGAACGTCGGCGGTCCATACACCTTCGGTCTTACCCCACCGCGCACGTGCGAGAGAGAGTAACTAGGATTCCTCCGTCGCGCCCCCGTCCCGAAGGGTCGTGCGGGGCCCCGTCGGTGCTGACATTCGCCTTCTGCTGCCTTCCTGCGCGAGCGCGGGGACGAGGCGGGCCCCGACATCGCTGGCGCCAGGGCGGCGCTCTCCTTGGATCCGCCGCGGCGCGGCGCCGAGGGCGCAGGCCCGAGAGCCAGCTTCACCGCCCAACCGTTGTTCGAATCGGCCGAGCGCCTGGGCCCAAATGGCTACAGACGTCAGGCAGCAGAGGAGGATACACTTTCGTGTTGGCGCACGGGGGCGAATCACACCTCCCATAGGCGGCATCGGCCGGCAACGGGCCAGAACGTGGCGAATCCTTGGGACACCCTCGCAGGTCGCAACGGGCAGCAACGGGCCAGAACGCGGCGAATCCTCGGACACCCCCACAGGCGGCAACGGGCGGTAACGAGGCGGCAGCATGCTGGAACGTGGCGTGCGAATCCTCGGGACACCCATCCAATTCCTTAGAACCACAACTAACAACCCCAACGTGTAAGCATTATTTGGGTTGGAAATCGTACGCCGATATTATATCCATCGATGTTTATGTCTGTACATATCCGCCACCGTGCCTTTGACACGAACTGGAGCGCCCAAGGCTCACAGCTGTGCTGCTGCTGCAGCTAGGACTGTGCTCACAGCTGTCCTGCTGCCGCTGCTGCAGCCATCATTCAAGTTTCTTCAGGGCCCAGACCACCAATTTCCCGGGCGCTCTTGGCGCCGCCAGTGTGCTCCGCAGGACTTCCGGGACGGCTGCAACACTTCAAACGACCCGCTGACTTTCGCGGGGCTCCCCACTGATCGCCCAAGACGGTCAAGGAGCGCCTCTAGACGGCCCAAGATGGCCCCCAGACGGCCCAAGAGGCCTCCAAGACGCCCCAAGAGGCCTCCTAAAAAGGCCCCAAGAGGCAACAATCACAGCTTTTTCCATTGGTCTCTGACGGTTTGGGGGATACTGCCGTTTCCGACTTCCCGATGCTCCAAGACGGCCCCAGAGGCTCCCAATATCGCCCCAAGACACCCCAAGAGGCCCCCACGACGGCCCCAGGACAGCCCAAGAAGGCCCCCAGACGCTGCAAAAGGCTTCCAAAACGGCCCAGGAGGGTTCCCCAACGGACATTTCGAGCCCGCGGCTCCAAGAAGCCCCCAGGAGGCCCCAAGAGGCCCTCAAGAGGTCCCCAGGAGGCCCCATGAGGTCCCCAAAAGGCCCCCAAGAGGCCTCCCAAGAGGACCCCAAGAGGCAAACGTCCCAACGAACAACCTAAAGGCCTATGACCCAAAACCCAGGCACGGTGGCGGGATGGGCCGAAAGCCATCATAGGTGTGTATATATATACACACACACACACACACACACTAGAACCATCGCGCGCGCTTCGCGCGCGCTCAGGTTCTAGCCCAGGCTGGGGGGGCGCTGGACGATCTTGGACAACGTTATCAAGCACAGGCGCGCGACGGCATCTCAGGAGCTTCTGGGGTGTTCCGCATGCTTCGTCAACTGGCTGTTGGAGGCACCTCTTGGGTGCCTCTTGGGGGGGCGTCTGAGGGTCCCTTGGGGGCATCGGTTCTGCAATCTGAAGCCGTCATTGGCCGTCTTGGCTGCGTGGAGGCCCGACTTGAGGCCACCTGCGGCCAGATTGAGGCAATCCGGAAGCCTCCCGGGGGCCTCCTGGAAGCAGTTTTGACGCATCGAGGGCACTATTGGGCTATTTTAACCTCTTGGACGTCTCCTAAGGGCCTTTCGGGCCCTCGGGAAGCTTTTGGGGTCCTCTTGCGGCCTCCTGTGGGCCTTTTGGGGGGAACGCTCTGCTGTTGGGTCGCGTTCCCCTTCTTGGGCCTCTCTTGGGGCTCTTGGGGCCCTCTCGGGCCGTCTTGGGCGCCTCAAGCACTGTTTTGGGGCCCTCCCGGGCCGTTTTGGGGCCTTCTTGGAGGCCTCTTCCTCTATATTGGAGCGGTATTGGAAGCCTCTTGGGCCGTCTTGGAGCATCGGGCTGCCAAAAGGCAGAAAAAATTAGAACCCGTCAAAGTCCAATCGTAAAACAATGAGTTGTGCCTCTTGGGGCCACCTTGGGAGATCTCTTGGAACCTCGTCGGCCCTCTTGGGAGCGTCTTGGGGGCCTCTTGGATCCGATTGGGGGCCTCTTGGGACTTCCCGAGAACCTCTCGGGGTAGAAAGCTCGGATTCTCAGTTCGTGTTTCCCTTCTTGGGCCTCTCTTGGGGCCGTCTTGGGGCCCTCTCGGGCCTTCTTGGGCGCCTCAGGCACCGCCTTGGGGCCCTCGTGGGCCGCCCAGGGCCCTCTTGGAAGCCTCTTCGGCTATCTTGGAGCTGTCTTGGAGGCCTCTTCCTCCTCCTCGTCCCCCTCCTCCTCCTCCCACTCCAGCTCTCTCTCCTCCTGATCTCCTCCTCCTCCTCCTCCTGCAGCGTGTTCCGGAAGGCTCCCGCCGGAACATGCTGTGCACAAGTGCTGTCACTGCTCCCGCCACAGTGCCCTGGGTGGTGGGTCAGAGGCCTCATGGGTGTTGGTTTGGATCTCGTGGTTGGCCTGTCGGGGACGTCGTGAAGGCAACTTCGCAGCTTCTCGGTAGCGGTTTTGGGACCGTTGTGGGGCCTCCTCGGGGCTGTTTTGTGGCCTCTTTAGGCCTCGTTTGGGCCTCCTGGGTGCCTCTTGGGGGCCTCCTGGGGCCTCTTGGGGGCTCCTTGGGGCCTCCTGGGGCATTCTTCACGCGGGAGGGTCGAATTTTGGAGTCGTGGTCCCCCTCTTGGGCGCATCTTGGGCTGTCTTGGGGCTCTGTTGGGCTGTCTTGGGCGACTCTGGGACCGTCTTGGGGCCCTCTTGGGCCGTCTTGGGGCGCTCTTGGGGGCCTATTGAGCCGTCTTGGAACGACGGACAGCCGAAAAGGCTGGAAGGCCAAAATCGTTCGAAAACCTTCGTAAAATTCACGGTTTCGGACTCTTGAAGCGCTGTGGAGAGGCGTCTTGAAGCGTCGTGGAGTGCCTTGGGGGGCCTCTCGGGCCGTCTTGGGCCTACCTTGGGCGTCCTGGAGCGGTCTCTCGGCGACTCGGGGCCCGCTTGGGCCGTCTTGGGGGCCTCTGGAGGCCCTCCTGGACTATTTTGGACCTCCCCGGCCGCCCCGTCCTCCCACGGGGGGTCGGAAGCGGCGGCCTCCGGGGCCCAGGACGCGGAAACCCGGTAGAAACTGCCAAAAGAGGGCCCCAAGACGGCTCAAGTGGGGTTCAGGAGTGACCTAGAGGCCCCAAAGACAGCCCAAGAAGGCTCCAGGACCGCTCCCAGAAAGGGCTCACAGGGGTACCCGACCTGACATTTCCAGCCTTCCTCCCCAAAGAGAGCCCTAGGAGACCCCAAGAAGGCCCCCCAAAGCATCCAGAATGCCCCAAGAGGCCCCCCATAGGCCCCCAAGAGGCCTCCAAGAGGCCCCCAGGCAGCCGAAGATGGTCCGCAGACTGCCCCCCAAACCGCCCAAGACGGCCCAAGAGGCAAGAGGAAGAGGGCCCGCAGAAGCAAAAATGGCCCCATTCCCTTCTGAAAACGTACAATTTTATAGTATTCGCCCAGAGGCCTCCAAGCTCGCGCCAAGACGGCCAAAGAGCGTCCCAGAGGGCCCCAAGATCGCACCAAACGGCCAAAGAGAGTTCCAAGAGGGCCCCAACACGGCTCAAGTGGGGTTCAGGAGTGACCTAGAGGCCCCGAAGACAGCCCAAGAAGGCCCCAGGACTGCTCCCGACCTGACATTCCCAGCCTTCCTCCCCAAAGAGAGCCCTAGGAGACCCCAAGAAGGCCTCCCAAAGCATCCAGAATGCTCCAAGGGGCCCCCCACAGGCCCCCAAGAGGCCTCCAAGAGGCCCCCAGGCAGCCGAAGATGGTCCGCAGACAGCCCCCCCAAACCGCC